AATACTATCTGACTGCAGTTCAATTACACACACATTGTCACGTCACGCCGTGACCATTTTATAGATACCAGACCACCCCCCAATCTAGTAAATGCTAGAGCACTCCCCGAAGGAACGGGATAGTTCTAAAAACAGGTGGTGTGACACTAATCACGTGACCTCGCTGACGCAACAGGGACGAACAATACTAAGGAGGGGGCAGGAACAATAGCCACTTACAATAAACCAATAACAATTAACAATAACTTAATTAAATGTACAGAATTACAAACACAAAATTACAATTCAACAAAGTCTCTTAATTTTACGGGACGTATCTTCTTCCGTACTGGTCTCCATCTCGTTGGCTTTTGCTTCATGTGGGGTTTATCTGCTTCATCATAAATGTCATATCGTCGGTAACAGTCACATCAGTGGTAGTAACTTCATCAAGAGCTTCACCGTTTCTCTTCTCAAAACTGAGTAGAGTTTCTTCTTCAACATTGGCTTTTTCAGGTGACACATCTTCAGCAGCGTCATTTGTTCTGTTGTCCAATTCGTCCCAACTGAAATGTCCTGGACCATGATAATGCCAAAGTCTGTTGGCATGCACCACTTTTGGCTTACCTCGCCGACCACATTTTACCCGGAAAGTCACGTCTGAGAGACGATCCACTATGTCATATGGGCATTCCCATGGAGAAGACAACTTAGGAGACTTCTTTGGTCTTCCTGGGATTATACAACCATACCTTGTCTCCTGGTACAAAGCTGACTTCAGTAGATCTCTTATCATAAATTAACTTCATCGAATCAGCAGACGTTTTCAAGTTTGAACGCACTTGATGGTGAATATCATCCATCCTTTCGATAACACTTTCACAAACTCTGACACATTCTCAGGCAACTCTTCATAAGGTGGGCGTCCCTTATGCTTGGGTCCTCTTTTAGCACTACATGTACTGCATGTTCTGCACCATTTTTCCACATCTCGCTTCATACCTATCCAGTAAACTTTTTGTCGTAGGTGACTTAATGTTTTCAATGATTCCGAGATGTTCTCCTGTTAAATTATCATGGGATTGACGCAGGACAACTTCCCGTAACTTTCTCGGTATAACTGTTTGCTAGGTCGTCACTTTCCCATCTGCAGTTTCCCATCTCCGGAGAAGAATATCATCTTCAAGCTTCAACTGGTCCCATTGTGCCCAATAGTTCTTTGTCACAGGGCTTAGACTAGATACCTTCCCCCAAGCAGGGCGCAAAACACTTGTTTTTAGGAAATCAATTATTGGCTTCAAATCTTGGTCTTTCTCCTGATCTGCTTTGATATCTATATTTGGTTCCACTTCACCATCATCACCTTCTTCAGTCACTTTGACTTCAGCTTAATGACACCTAATTAGTTCAACCTCTCTTTTAACAGTTACCGGAACTTGGCCTTTGTTGTTCCCAAACGCCATTTTATCAAAATCAATTACAAACTTCCTCGGTAGTAAATAGTCCAATCCTAATATGCATTCGTCTTCAATGTCAGCCAACTATACTTTGTGTGTGTCCTTTATGCCCATGAGCTAAATAGTTACCCACACTGGTCTCCACAATCTTGTAAAATGTCCTGTCACACCATAAAGCTTCTGTATGGCTTCTGGTACTCCTTCATGATCTAACACCTTGATGCTCACAAGGGTTTGCGGAGACGCAGAGTCTATGACAAAGTTGCACCTTTGGCCATCCAGCTTCCCTGTCACATAGATACTATGTGTGCTTGGCATTTTACACCTAGCTGTTGGGACTTTCACGATGGAGGTTGGTGGGCGTCCCTTAGCACCAACCACTACTGGTTTCCCGAAGCTGACTTATTGGTGGTATGTTTCTTCACTGGCTCCTCACATGTCCTTGCTCCCCACAGTTCCAACAACCTTTCTGGATACCAGCCATGGCATCTTCCTTGTGTTGAAGTTTCCAGCATTGAGCTCTCTTGTGCTCAGGTTTGTTACAGTGCCAGCAAAGTCCCTCAAACCTCTCTGAAAGCTGACCTTTTCTGGTCTTGAATCCAGATGATTGTACTAACCTCGCTACCTCTGTGCTGGACTTAACGTAGGATTCAAATTCGAGAGCTCTGGCCATTGCATCCTGCATGGTAGAAGGGTGTGCTTGCTTCACTTGTATCTTGAGTTGTGGACTGTCCAAGGCATCTACGAACTGATCCCTCAGCAACAACTTGAGGAGATTGGGTGGTGCAGTTGGGTAGGCCTTGTGTGCCATGCTTTCCAAGTCCTGTGCCAGCTCTTGTAGGCTCTCCCCTTGAGCACGGAGTCTCGTCCTAAACCTAGCCCTGTAGACTTCCGACTGATTTTGGGTTCCGTACCTGAGTTTTAGAGCCGCTACCAGTGCTCTATAGTTGTGCCTGTCGTCTGCTGACAACTGTCCAAGTATTTCCAGTGGTTGTCCTTTCAAGCTCGTTGCCAGTTGCCACTGTTGTAATCTCTCTTCTTGTTTCTTTTCTTTTGCCTCCAACAACTGCTGTAACTTCTCTTCTTGTTTATTTTCTTTCTCTTCTAACAACTGCTGTAACTTCTTTTCAAGTTTATTTTCTTTCTTCTCCAACCACTGCTGTAGTCTCTCTTGTTTATGTTACTGTTCGAGCTGCCATTGTTGTAGGTTTTCTTGCAACTGCTGTTGTCTCTCTTCTTGTTTCTTTTCTTGTTTACTTTCTCGTTCTTCTTGTTTATTTTCTCGTTCTTCTTGTTTCTTTTCTTTTTCCTCTAACAACTGCTGTAATTTCTCTTCTTGTTACTTTTGCTGTTCTTGTATTGCTGTCATCAAATATGCTAAGCTGTAGTTTGATTTGCCGCTTCTCGTTTCCATTTTTCTTTCTTGT